CTGGACAGAAAAAAAAATCTTCTACAGATGGAACTGATGACTCCTATTCCAAAAATGTCGTTGAGCCATTTTCCGATACCGACAAGTGTATACTTGACTATTTCCGCATGTGGACGCTTCCTCCATGTCTCATGAAGTCTGGAGATTTAAGATCCTCAGGGTCTACTATTTTACGAGCTATTGGATTGTACAATGATCTCCGCTTAGCGCCTCCAACCGGATATTTGTTTTTGCAAGAAATGGGTGTTTTTACCCCTTGGCAAAATCTCCATGTACTTTATGAACAACTTGCACTTCCAGGTCACGGAATTTCACAACCGGCTGACAAGATCGAGGAGGAGTCTAATACATTCTGCGAGAATATTGGACCAGGCAGCTTGCCGGATACGATGAAACAACTAAGGAAAGATTGGGGCGATCTCCCTGTGTTTTGTGTTGATGATATTCACGCAGCGGAAATCGACGATGGCTTTTCAATCGAGCCTGTGCCTGGGTCTGACGACACGTACTGGGTTCATATTCATGTTGCTAATCCGTCTGCTTTTGTGCCCCCGGACCACATCGTCGCTAAAAGAGCCGCAGAGTTTAAGAGGTCATTTTACTCACCTGAGAGGGTTTATTCCATGCTACCTCCATCCCTTGTCCAAGACTTCTTCAGTCTAGCACCCGACCGGCCAGTTATCACTTTCAGTGCGAAGCTCAACATGACTGGAGATATACTCGAAACCGATATTACAAATGGATACGTCAGGAATATAATCTATATCACCCCGAACAAAGTTCGAAAATTATTTGGTATTGATCGGGATACTTCCCCTTCTCTGACATTATCATTTTGCAACAAACTTCAAGAACCAACTTGTACGAGGCCACAAGATGATATCTATGATGAGCATCGACCTTCATTCCATATGCTGGAAAAGCTTATGGCTGCTCGTCGTGAAAAGCGAATGCAAAAAGGTGGCCTCGAATTTCTATCCCGACAAAAAACTCAACCTAGAATATCCGGCGGGAAAGATCGAGAATCAATATACTCAGTCGACAATACCACAGGATACCACTACACCGGAGACCCTACTATTCATTTGAGCAACTTAACAACCGACCCATTCGAGGTGAATGAGTCGACGAAGGAAGACCTTGTCAGCCACGTCATGGTGCTTGCTGGTGAGATTGCAGGCCAGTGGTTCAAGGATTGGAGAATCCCCACAGTTTTCGCTGGAACATGGTACCATCCCGAATACACCAAATCAACGATTGATCGACTCTCCAGAGAGATACCCAACTCGTTTCATCTTGGACTTCCCCGATCCTTTTCGTGCAAAGACCCGACGCCACATGCTGCCCTTGGTGTCGACCAATACGTGAGATGCACAAGTCCTCTCAGACGATATACAGATCTAATTGCCCACTGGCAAATAGAAGCTGTGTTACGCCAGCAGGCAAATGAATCACTAGCCTCTAAAACTCAACTTGAGGGCAGTCTCCCGTTCAATGAATCTGATATTGAAAAGTACATCGCTCGTGCGGACTGGCAGAATCGCCTAAAAGACCGAGCGCAACGCCGGTCCCGTGACTTCTGGATCTGCCAAGCCCTTTTCCGGTCCTTCTATTTCAAAGAGGCAGAGTTACCCCAAACTTTCCAATGTATCATGCAGACGCTGAACTTTGATAAGGAGCATGAAGTTGGATCCGAACGGGATGAATACTTTGGCAGACTTCAACCCTTCGACCTCCCGTGTATAGTCACGACTGAGAAGGCGGCTTCACCGATGCAAATAGGCGACTTGGTGGATGTGGAACTCGTCTCAATAGATATGTACAATCTTAGGGTGACAGTTAAGTTTTCGCGTCATGTCAAGCGGCCGGAAAATGGCGCTCTTGCATCAAGGGGAATAATACTCAAATGAGCCTTTCATGTTAGCCAACCACCAAACATGGTTTTCCTGCTTCTTGCTCAGCGCATGGATGGTGGCCGATTCCTGACGTATCTGGGTTGTCGGGCTGGCTCGATCTACATCTTCTGCAGTGGAATGAAGCTGTCCCACTGGAATATTTTATGTCGAATGTAAAGGGCTGCTTGGAAGTCGGGAGCCCGGGGATGTGGCTGATCTGTTTTGGATGTCTAGGACTTTGTTGACATGCCTAAGAAAACAAACGTGGAGTTTGCTCTATATTCAACCTGTACTAATGATCATCTGTATGAATAGACGGTGTGCGATAGTTTCTTGTATAAGACTTTGCATGTATATATATACCCTTCTCGACTATGGTTGTTATATGGTTTGGATTTGTCTTTCGTACCCATAGAGAAATGTGAAATTACCAAAATTGTATTCTTGAAAGAATTATCCTGAATGAATGGAGAAGAGCCTGTCGACTCCATGCCGCTGAAAATGGCGAGATTTGTTGAACGTTCTAGTTAATTCGGCAAGGGATACGGTTAAGCCCGGGCAGCAAACCACCCTATGACGTCAAACCCGCTTAAACATATGAACTAGATCATCCCTGCCACATCTTTTACTCCCACGGCATAAATATTCCGCGATCTTCCCTATCTCTACCCGATATCGAGAACACATTAGAAATCCTCATCCTACAATAATGACTACAGTCTTCCGTCCCAACGCCACGGCCTTGATCACGGGCGGAGGCGGTGGGATAGGATTCGCCATAGCCCAACTCTGCCACTCGCACGGCATGAATCTCATCCTGGTAGATATCCACGCTGACAACCTAGCCCACGCCCATACAATGTTGGGCAACACGGCAACTGCAACGACGCTCACTCATGTAATGGACGTTGGCGATTTGGCTTCTTGGGAGTACCTGCGCTCGAAAGTCGGACAGACATTTCCCGATGGAGTGGATTTGCTGATGCTCAATGCGGGCGCGTCCGTGAAGCCGAAGGACCCTGAGAAGCCGTGGGAGGATCCGGAGTATTTCCAGAAGGTCTGTTGGTGCCTCTTCTCTTTTGTTCATATGGCATTTGAAAAATTTCGTTTCTCTATGTAAACGCTGTTACAAGGTTCCCATTGTTAAGGATAGTCATATGCATATGTATCTAGACACTTACAACCAACGTCATGGGCGTTGTCAACGGCTTGGCTACATTTCTCCCAATTATCAGCGCTTCATCCGAGGAGTCGCGAGCCATCATAATCACCGGCTCAAAACAAGGCATCACCAATCCACCCGGTGCCCACAATCCAGCGTACAATGCCAGTAAGTCGACCGTGAAAACCATCGCAGAGCACCTTTGCCACGATCTCCTCCCAAACAAGAATATCTCGACACACCTTCTCATTCCCGGGTGGACGTATACTTCCATGACTGGAAACACTGGTGTTGTGCCAGACGGCAAAAAGCCAAAGGGTGCATGGTTACCTGAGCAGTTGGCGAGGTACATGTATGAGAAGATGCGCAAGAAAGACTTTTATATTATTTGTCCCGATGATGATGTGACTGAAGAACTTGACCAGGCGAGAATGGCATGGGCAATGGGGGATGCCATAGAACGTCGTCCGCCGTTATCTAGGTGGAATGATATGTGGAAGGACGTTGCTGCGGAGTGGATTGAGAAAGAGTTGGAGAAGAGGAGAAAGTTGAAATCTGGTTGATATGCTTTTGCGATTATTCTTATATTGGCAGCGTTTTGTGATTGCTGGGGTTGAGGACGTGACTTCAGACATCCACCCAAAACACTCGAGTAACAAAGCAGTTATGACGAAAGGGGTTGAACAAAATATGCCGGGATGTTAGAAGTAATGTTAAAACACAATTATATTGTATATATGAACCTGAAACCAGCGAATCCCCCATGCCACCCTGAAAAGCTGGGTACTTAAACCACAGAATCTCAGGGGCTTTAAATTTGATTGAAAAAAAAAAAAAGGGACAACAACTCCGGGTGCAATTGCCCTAGAGAAACATTGCCATCTATAATCTATCGTACAATAAAGCCAACCATCGTGAGCAAAAACTCAAGGGCGTTTAGTGATTGCCAACACCCCGTTCCTTCCATATAAATGGATGTATACATGTTTCTCGCTGGAGGGAGGTGTTAAAAGTGCAGGGTATGATATATAATATATGTTCGTGAGAGCCAAGGGGTTTGCGGAATAATAGGGCACAGTGTTTTCTATTATAGTCTGATTGAAAGAGGTTAGGGAAGATCATGGATAGCGATAGAAGCAATATTTGACTGAAGGGGGGGAGATATGATATGATGTTGACATTCAGTCAGGGATTCGGCTTTGACTTGAGCTCTTCTCTGCTTCCTTTTTTCCGGCGGAGGAACGGGGGGGAAAGCATAATGAATTCAATCCCCTTAACTTCAACATCCCCATAGAAAAGACTTACTGAGGAATAAGCATCTCACTAAGACTGCTATGCAAGAAAGCAACAGCCGCCTGTGACAAATATTTATACATTAGTCTACTTGAACTCCATTAAGTTATCTGGTGTATTTTGCATGTTGCTCATTTGTATACAACGTACCCCGAATACAACAACACTTCTCACAACAGAAGCGTTCTCAGAAGATGTGAGACCGCGATATGCGGCAGCGAGATAGCCGACTTGCTCCGGCTGGCGCTTCTTTGCCGGCCCGGATTGCACGACGACGCGTTGCTTGGGAGCCATTTTGAGCGATGTGTTTACAGATGTGGGAGGGATATATTTCCCGCGTTGTGAGTTGCCGTGCTGTTTGTTCAAGAGGGTTATTGCAATATTGGGAGGAGATAGAGTTGTAAGTTGGATTGCCGGAAGAAAATCTTTGAGCAAAGACTAGTCCGCGAACTGCGCAGGTGGTGCGTTCAGCGTGACGTAGAACATGTTTATTGGAACAGCAAGCTCCATCCAGAGACATGATGGAATTCTACTCGCGCTTGAGCTGGATAGTTCTCTTATTTTTCTAAGCTCCGTGTACGGAAAAGTTTTGAGATTGCGGATGCCGCCCCTCTGCGCCTCACGAGCTCCAGCCTCCAAAGCTTCCTACAATGGCCAGCATCGATGAGTTATTCAAGGTATTACGACCCTCTGAATATACCAAATTGCCGCGCTAACAAGTATATAGAAACCACTATTGCCGTCAAAGCGCAAATCCGAGCCGTTGCGAGATGCCAGTATGTTCTGCCCAAACACCCAGTCATTATATGGATATAGCCAACCCGTTATTGCTTGCTTTTAGGTGAAGTCTACAAAAGTACGAAGATAGATGTCAATGGGGTTGCAAAGAGCAGTCGGGTAGCCACAATCGAAGATGCTGGTGACGAGGAAGATGAAGCTGGCCCCGAGCTCCCTCCAGACTTCGATCCAGACGAGGGTGTCGCGGACGACGAGGGAGGGCGATTTTTCGGTGGTGGCATATCGACTCAAACGGCTGGCGCGTTGAACTTTGTTGAAAACCTGGATCAGAACGATACTGGGGTGAGCATACCGGGAATTTATTATGTTGGAATGCGCTTTGGAATATTGAGCTAATGTTTGGCCCTGGTTCGCTGTATCAGCCAGAAAAAATCGATTTGGCTTGGTTACGACGATTGGCATTGACCTTCGAGAAGAGGATATCCAAGAATGCAGAACTTAGGGCCAAGTTTGAGAATGAGCCCCAAAAGTAAGAATTATTGATTATAATGGTGTTACCTATTGTACCCACCGCGTTGCAGGCCGATATATTCTAATGTGAACGAACTATATCAGATTCATGGCGTCCGAGGCAGACCTTGATGCCGATATCAAATCTCTTTCGATTTTGTCAGAGCATCCAGATTTGTATGAAGAGTTTGCGAGCTTGGGCTGTGTTGGTTCTCTTGTTTCGTTACTGTCCCACGAAAATACGGACATTGCTATTGACGCAATTGAGATACTTGGCGAATTGACCGATGAAGATGTTGAAGCTGAGCAGGGACAGTGGGATGCCTTGGTCACTGCTATGGTAAGACATATTGGGTTTTTTCAATGGGGACATTTTACTGATTTTTTGAAGGTGGATGCGGATGTCATTGCTCTACTGGCTCAAAACCTTTCTCGACTTGACGAGGATAATGAGGCAGACAGACCTGGTGTTTACCATGTCATGAGTGGGTTTTTTTTTTTTTTTTTTTTTTTTTTTTTTGGTTTGGTTTGGTTTGGTTTGATTTTTGCGTTTTGTGGATCTCTTCATAGCTGATATTCTGCTACAGACGTTCTTGAGAACCTGGCCTCGCAGCTTACCGTTGCAGAGAAAATTGGGCAAGATTCGGATTTGATAACGTGGCTCAAAAATCGAATACAGAAAAGGGAGAAACAAGTAACCCAGAATAAACAGTATGCGGCCGAGATTCTAGCAATTTTAGTCCAATCGTCATCGAAGAACCGACAAATTTTGATCAAAAATGAGATGGTCGATGTTTTGTTACAGTTGCTCAGCCCATATCGAAAGCTGGACCCTGAGAAAGATTCTGACGAAGAGGAATACGTGGAGAATCTTTTCGATTGCCTTACATGCTTGGTAGATGAAGACTATGGGAAAACAAAATTTATAGAAGCCGAAGGTGTGGAACTTGCCCAAATCATGCTCAGGGAAGGCAAAATGAGCAAATCAAGGGCGTTAAGAGTTTTTAACCATGCCCTGAGCGGGAAAGGGGGCGGACCTGCCTGTGAGCGTCTTATCGAAGCTGCGGCATTGGGAACAATATTTGGCATGTTTAAGAAAAAGGTAAGTGTGCCGTTTTCACTTTATCTTTTGAGATCAAAGGATCTAACCCCCGCATAGCAAGACCACCAATCGATAGAGCACTTGTTGGGAATATTCTCTTCACTTCTACGACTGCTGCCTGGAGATTCTCCGAGTCGGATACGGACCCTTGCAAAATTCATGGAGAAAGACTACGAGAAGATTGAGAAGTTGGTTAAATTACGGCGCGAATATGCGTCGAAAGTTTCAGCGGTTGATCAGACAATTGAGCAAGAGCGAAAATCCATGGATCAGGATGAGCAAGAGATTATGGCGGGAGAATGGCTTTCTCGACGCCTCGATGCGGGATTGTTCTGTTTCCAGGTCGGAGATTCCACGTCTTATGTATTCTACCCGTTTACATTATCACTAACACCAAGAAGACCATTGATGTTATTCTCGCCTGGCTAGTTGCCGAAGATGACGGAGCAAAATCGAAGATTAATAATTTGCTCTCAGATCATGATGAGAACCTCGAGGTTATTAAAGCTACACTGCAGGGTATGGTTTCTGCTTCTTCGATTCCCAAGCAAAATTAACTGAGCTGACTTGTAGTTCTAGAGCAACTAAATGACCTGGATGAAACGTCAACTGATGAGGAGGATACACGAGAGATGCTTGGAACACTGCTGCAGTTCCTAGGGTAAAAACTCTATGTAACTTTGTATATAATAACTTTATCAATGTAACATTATCATAGTATTTGTGCCAAGACAACAAGCGACATAGTTTAATTAACTCACGTGAAATAAGACTTTATAGTTCAGAGGCGCGCTAATACATACTAGGTAAGCGCGTGTGGCGGCTCTGCTTCAGAAATGTCGCGCCCATCACACTGGAGAACCGTTGCTGATAAAATTTAACCAACATCAACACCTCCAATCTTTGCTTCGACACACACCCCGCGGAGCACCGCCGCTGTTGTATTCTGCATCAACACTAATACGGAGATTGTTTCTCGTCTACGTACGTCTTTCCTGCGAATGAAATAAACCTGTTCTGCGCAGGGAGAAACCAGCCACTTTCTCCAAGTCCTGACTTCCGGGGGCTCCGTCGCCCGCAACTGCACACCGGAATAACGGCCAGCATGGAGGACTACGAGGAGGAATATGGCGAGGATGTCTACTGCGAGCAGGAAGAAGGGATTACGTCTGAAGATTGCTGGACGGTGATTTCGTCTTTCTTCGAGTCGAAAGGTTTAGTGTCGCAACAGCTCGATTCTTTCGATGAGTTCATCTCCACAACGATGCAGGAGCTGGTGGAGGAACAAGGACAGGTTACACTCGATCAGACTCTAGCTCCTTCTGAGGATGAAGTGGATCCCGTTGTTTTGCGTCGTTATGAGCTGAAATTCGGTACGGTGATGCTTGCCCGGCCATCGATGACGGAGGGCGATGGCGCCACTAGTATTATGTTGCCCCAGGAAGCACGGCTTAGAAACCTCACATATGCTAGCCCCCTCTACCTTGGTATTACGAAACGAGTAACTGAAGGCCGGGAACGACTTATTTCTGAACGTGACGATGCTGATCAGGATGAACAAGATAACGATGAGGATAGACGGAATAGAGGAACATATCTGCATTGGGAGCCCAAAGCTTTGAATGAGGATGAGCCGGAGGAAGAAAACGTTTTCATTGGGAGAATGCCAATCATGCTGAAGTCAAAATATTGTATCCTCAAGGATCTCAATGAGCAGGCGTTATACAACTGGAACGAGTGTCCCTACGATTCCGGTGGATATTTCATTATCAACGGAAGTGAAAAGGTGCTAATCGCCCAAGAACGCAGTGCTGGAAACATTGTTCAAGTGTTTAAGAAAGCTCCTCCAAGCCCCACACCATACGTTGCGGAAATCCGAAGTGCCGTTGAGAAAGGATCTAGAATATTGTCTCAACTGTCGATTAAGCTTTTCGCTAAAGGAGACACCTCCAAGGGCGGTTTTGGTCCAACGATTCGATCAACGCTTCCCTACATTAAAACAGACATTCCCATCGTCGTCGTTTTCCGGGCTTTGGGTGTTGTGTCTGACGAGGATATTCTCAACCATATTTGCTATGATCGGAATGATACCCCAATGTTGGAAATGCTTAAGCCGTGTATCGAGGAAGGCTTCGTCATTCAAGATCGTGAAGTGGCCCTTGACTTCATCAGTAAACGAGGCTCTTCACCCACGAGCATGAACCACGAGAAGCGAGTTAGATACGCCAGGGATATCATCCAGAAGGAATTCCTTCCCCACATTTCGCAGAGTGAAGGAAGTGAGACGCGGAAAGCATTCTTCTTGGGATATATGGTGCATCGACTTCTTCAATGTGCTCTTGGCCGTCGCGATGTCGATGATCGTGACCATTTTGGGAAAAAGAGACTGGACCTGGCTGGTCCACTACTCGCTAACCTTTTCAGAATCCTTTTCATGAGGGTTACGAAAGATCTTTACAAGTATGTCCAGAGATGTGTGGAAACTAACCGCCAGCTCTATTTAAATATCGGTGTAAAGGCGAGCACCCTGTCTGGCGGCCTCAAGTATGCTCTTGCCACTGGGAATTGGGGTGAACAGAAGAAGGCAGCCAGTTCCAAAGCCGGTGTTTCACAAGTGCTTAATCGCTATACATACGCGTCTACACTTTCACATCTTCGCCGTACTAACACGCCTATCGGTCGTGACGGCAAGATTGCTAAACCCCGACAACTTCATAATACTCACTGGGGTCTTGTATGTCCAGCTGAAACACCAGAGGGTCAAGCTTGCGGTCTCGTGAAGAATCTGGCCTTGATGTGTTATATTACTGTCGGTACGCCAAGCGAACCAATTATCGACTTTATGATCCAACGAAATATGGAAGTCTTGGAAGAATTTGAGCCCCAAGTGTCGCCAAACGCCACAAAAGTCTTCGTCAATGGTGTCTGGGTGGGAGTTCACAGAGATCCTTCTCACTTAGTGAGCACTGTTCAGTCACTGAGACGACGTAACATGATTTCCCACGAAGTCAGTTTGGTGCGAGACATTCGAGACCGAGAATTCAAGATTTTCACAGATGCTGGACGCGTGTGTCGACCTCTGTTTGTCGTAGAGAATGATCCTAAGAGCGAAAACTGTGGCTCGCTGGTACTATCTAAGGAACACATTCACAAACTGGAAGCGGATAAAGAAATTCCAGCAGATTTGGATCCTGAAGAACGCAGGGAACGGTACTTTGGATGGGATGGCCTTGTTAAATCTGGTGTTGTTGAATATGTAGATGCCGAGGAGGAGGAGACTATTATGATTGTTATGACACCCGAGGATCTGGAGATGTCGAAACAAGTTCAGGCTGGATATAACCTTCCGGAAGAAGATCATACCGATAGGAATCGGCGCGTCCGATCAAATCTTAGCCAGAAGACGCATACCTGGACTCATTGCGAAATTCACCCCAGTATGATTCTAGGTATCTGCGCAAGTATCATTCCGTTCCCTGACCACAACCAGTCTCCTCGTAACACATACCAGTCGGCTATGGGTAAACAAGCGATGGGTGTCTTTCTAACGAACTTCGATCAACGCATGGAAACGATGGCTAACATCTTGTACTATCCACAAAAGCCCCTTGCTACAACACGGTCCATGGAGTTCCTCAAATTCCGCGAGCTTCCTGCTGGGCAGAATGCTATAGTGGCAATTGCTTGCTACTCCGGATATAACCAGGAAGATTCCGTCATCATGAACCAGAGCAGCATTGATCGTGGTCTTTTCCGAAGTCTTTTCTACCGAACTTACACCGACTCTGAGAAAATGGTTGGTATGACTGTTGTTGAAAGATTTGAGAAGCCGATGAGATCCGACACTCTTCGGATGAAACACGGTACTTATGATAAAGTCGATGATGATGGCATTGTTGCTCCCGGTGTTCGTGTTTCCGGCGAGGATATCATCATTGGTAAAACAGCTCCTCTTGCACCGGATGCAGAAGAGCTGGGACAGAGAACTAAACAACATACCAAAGTTGACGTCTCTACTCCTCTACGTAGTACCGAGAGCGGTATTGTTGACCAGGTCTTGATTTCAACGAGCAACGATGATCTCAAATTCGTTAAAGTTCGGACGCGAACGACAAAGATTCCTCAAATCGGGGACAAGTTCGCGTCCCGTCACGGCCAAAAGGGTACCATTGGCATTACATACAGACAGGAAGACATGCCCTTCACGCGTGAAGGAATCACACCAGATATAATCATTAATCCTCACGCCATTCCATCTCGAATGACAATTGCCCATTTGATCGAGTGTCAACTCAGTAAAGTTTCGTCACTACGTGGCTTTGAAGGCGATGCAACTCCCTTCACCGACGTGACAGTAGACTCCATCTCCGGTTTGCTCCGTGAACATGGATACCAGTCCCGCGGCTTCGAGGTGATGTACAATGGCCACACAGGCAGAAAGCTAGTTGCGCAAATTTTCCTCGGCCCGACTTATTACCAACGGCTGCGACATATGGTGGACGACAAGATCCATGCTCGCGCACGTGGTCCAACCCAGATTCTTACCCGCCAGCCTGTGGAAGGTCGTGCTCGAGATGGGGGCCTTCGATTTGGAGAGATGGAACGCGATTGCATGATTGCTCATGGCGCCAGTGCGTTCCTGAAAGAAAGATTGTTTGATGTCTCTGATCCTTTCCGTGTCCACATATGTGATATCTGCGGGTTGATGACACCCATTGCGTAAGTTTGTTCACTCCAGAACCTAAAACAGGAGCCCTCTATATATTTTAAACTAACATTGTTGCATAGGAAACTCAAGAAGGGTGACTTTGAATGCCGGGCTTGTAAAAATAAGAACAAAATTTCGCAAGTTCACATTCCATATGCTGCCAAGCTTTTGTTCCAAGAATTAATGTCGATGAATATCGCTGCACGGATGTTTACGAAGAGGTCCGGAGTGTCATTGCGTTAGCCATGTGCAATGTTTAATGCGTGCATGATCAGCCGACCGGAAATTGCGGGAGTGGGTTTGTCATCCAACCAGCCTGCAGAAGTAGCCGTTTTGCATGGCACACACATCCCTGCGGATTGCGAATCCAAGGAATCAAACCTGTTCTCGCAACTTGAGATTGTACTTTTACATGACAAGTCTCTTTTCTTCTTTGTCCCGTTTTGTTTACTCGAACCTCCCAATTTCCCAATCTCCCAGCGCCTCTTTTGTGCTTTATTTTGAGGTGACTCGGTTATATTTCTTCATTTTCTCATAGCAGCATGAGATAGAGAGTTCACAGAACAGTCAGTTCAAGAGACAAAAGCCCTATTACCCTTTCTCTATTTGGCATTGTCCATGGCGTTATTTTTTTCAATTCTTCCTTTTATTTTTCTGGTTCAAATGAGCGAAAATTGGGAAAAGTTGGAATGTATCCATGAAGGAAATAACTGATTCCCTCGATAGCAAATAATGTCCGCCTTTTTAAAACATCTCCACGAATTGAGCCTTGTTTTTTTTTGGGGGGTTATGTCAATTACAATTCTGCACATTTGCAATACATCTAAAATACGCCCCTCGCCCTGAAATTCCCCCACGCAGAGTTGATATGCTTACCTTTGCAATCTACGCAGCGAAGTGTTTCACAAAAAGGGGACAGCTCCCACAATACAACAGAAAGGAAAGCAAATTGCCTTGGAAAACCCTAAGATATATGAGTTGCACTATGTCTAGCCATTGTTGAATTGGCATCAGAGCAATCTTTTTGCACTTTTAACAGCGTCAAACTTAATACTGGCTAGCAGTTGAGGGAAAGGAGAGATGAAGCAAACAGGAAAACAACCGCACCATTTTTTCTTCATTAGCCTTCCGAGTACATTCCAAGAACAGGAAGTCAAAAGGTAAGGAGTGTCAGCGCCAGTGGAGGGAACCCACCATGCTCCATCCACGGAACCACGCCAATGGATGGCAGGTTATTTTTGGGGCCAAGCTCCTTCGAATCTTGGTAGGAGTGGATCCGCTGGATATGTATGTAGTTCTCGCTTGCTGGGGTGGGCTTGGTTGCAATTGGCCACTGGTCACAGGGGGTCAGTCGTACCATTGACAAATTGTTGCATGGATCCTTGTTAGTCTTTGATGGGAAAGTATCTCGTTATGCCACCATATATGCCCATCTGCTGCAGTGAGGATTTGTGTGTATGAATGTATATTAGATGTGTTTACATGGGACGGGGAGAGAGACGTCATGGAGAGAGGCTCTGTATAATTTTGGTGTTCGGATAATGCACTGTCCCGTTTAAGGGGGATGGCGATGATAGACAGGTGGATGATGGAATCAGAATAAGAAGGGTGTGTTTGATGTCCAGTCGACGTTTTAGAACTGGCACTCTCGAACGACATTAGCGAGCGTGTGCGCAGGAGAGGTTGCAGCAGTATCCAGCATCCAGTTCTGGATCATTCCACGCGCTGATATTGAACGTGTCATGCAGGATCCTCCTGAAGCAGTGCCTTTTCATTCAAACAGGAATAGGGCTTTCGACATGCAAGAGTGCGACCCCTAACCGCCCGGAGGAGATCGATATATATGACTGTGAAGACGCACAGGTCCATTTTGTTGCTGTTTGGTAATACAAGGGAATAATAAGACAGTCAGTCAGACGACGGGGCCAATTCCAGAAACATCATGGAGCAGAATCCATCTCAAGGACACCTCACAACATCGGCCTCGTATATCCCTGGGAAGAGATGCAGAATCCTGTTGAGATTGGATGCAGAGGCAGGTTTATTCAAACCCGAATGAGAACTAGAGGACAGTGACTGACGCAATGTGATGCAGTGCCTCATCATCGTATGTGCCACTGCCTGGCCACCCTCAACCGCCACCAACGCAGCCAGTGAATGGGTTTGTAGCCCAAGTGGCACCACCTGCACACCACTTTGGTGCTGCCCCCCGGCGAGGCTTTGTTGGAGATTGCTCAGGGCGGATGCTCATTGGGCGTGTGCGGGGGTGCGATAGCCGACTCCACCGTCTCCCCGCGCTGCTGCTGCTGATCTCAGCCAATGATAGGCTCGCCCTACCCGCCCATGTCGATTACGTCAGCCACACCGACTGAACCGAGTCTATGGCACTAACCCAATACGGATTAATGTTTATGTGTGTCTATTCTTAGAGTCTGCTCTGGTTTATAACATTTATATACCACCAACTGCTCTGCCGCCTTTTGCTCTATCCTCTTTTTTCTCCCTTTTCTTTCTTTTCTTTTCTTTTCTCTTTTCTTCAGCAGGTCTTGTTTGTCTTCCCGAAGAGCTATTCCTTTAGTTTCGAGGTACCGAATTTCCGTTGCGTCGTTCTTCTCTTTTTTCTTGCGCATTAATTATTCAAAGAAGCTGTGCTTCTCGTTTCTTGAATCTTTTTCATCTCGGTACCTCTTAATTAATTCAAATCCTCACCTCAAATTGCATTGCCGTTGCCGGTTCGACGTCTTTGTTTAATAGCCTCTTCTTCAACGTTCGAGAGAAATTCTAAGATCCGTCCGCTCTATTTTATCGATTCAAAAATCTGCAAAAGCGACTCTGGTAGTCCTTTGACCTTTCGATAAAATCTGTTGTCTATTATTAGTATATTCGTTTTTTTTATCTACACATAATTCGATCATTATTATTATTATTATTATTATTATTATTACTGTTCTTGTTCTTAATACACCCATTCATTAATATCATATTCTTCCCCTTGCCTTCATTATTATACTTACTATTCACACTTAATCCAACCTATTATCCCGGAAATACTTGGAAAAATGGCCGCGGTTCAGCTTAGCTTCTCCATCCGCACCTCTCCCAATGTCAAGACCATCCATCTCCTTGGTTCCTGGGACAATTACACCGGCCAGCTTCCGCTCTCCCAGGATGCTTCCGCCAAAACTGGCTCGTGGAAGGGCACTTTTCGCTTCCAGGGCAATTCCCTTCAACTGGGACAGCGATACTGGTACTATGTATGTAAAATTTCTTATATTTAGGATCAAAAGTTTATTTTGTTTTGTTACTTCTTCTTTTTCTTTTTCTTTTTTTTTTTTTTTTGGCCTTGGATTCTGACTTCTTGACAGTACATCATGGACGGATACCACGTCTCTCATGATCCGACAGCAGAATACACTGTTGAGCCCACCACTGGGCGCAAGCTAAACATCCTAGATGTTCCCTGCGGAGCCCGCAGTAGCAACAACTCCTCTTCAAACAGACATTCGTCTGATGGGGTCATCAAGGGTCGAGCCCTCTCACCCTCCAAGATCCTGTCCCCAAAGCCCTCCAAGCCCTACGCCTCACGCCAAATTCGGGATGCCCGCTACTCCCCACCGCCAACTGTCAGCGAACTCACTAGACGCTTTGGCAATGTCGATATGTCTGATTCTGATTCAGACATCTCCACCAGCCCGCCCTCGTCTACTGGCTCTTCCATGTCCGGACGCTCCGACAATTCGTCTCCATCATCCATCTCCTCTTTGAGCGATAACAGCTCTGTCTGCAGCTGCGAACGATATGGTATCACTCGAAAGGGAGATCGCGTCAAGCTGGATTGTGGAGGTAGCCGATGCGGAGCCAATTCTCCCGGTTCAGACTCCAACTACTGCTCAAGCGACGACTCTGAAGACGAGGACTACCGACAACCCCGTCCCACAACCCGTCGTCCAAACTACGCCCACGTCAGGTGATCACCCGTGCTCTGCTGGATGATAAAATGGCAATTTTCCCCCTTTCCACGGAACATTCACATTGACTGCACTTCCCCCTGACTGACAATCTTGGAGCCACCGACACACCCATCAAACCCACCCGTCCCGCTCCCTTTTTTTTTTGACCCACGACCCTAACGAAGTAATACTGTTTTCAAAGAGCTGGTTTATTTTGCCTGCGACTGTGAAGTTGGTTAAAATGATTTTCAATTCCATGCGTCCAAGCGGAAAAAAAAAAAAAAGTTGTCATGCCTCTCTTCGACCGGAATGATATTCGCGTACAGTCTCCAATCCAGTCTCGCCTTGCTTCCCCTCACACGAACATCGTCCAAGAGAAAGTCTTAATTTACAGCGAATCTCCAATTCTTCTTTATCTCAAGCCGGACACCTGCTCGATTCTGGTTACCCAAAGCTAATGTTTCCATCGCTATTGTTGCTCAATTCACTAAATCTGTGCTTTTTGAACTGTCCAAGCAAAACAATGCTGTAAACAATCAACGCAAAGCGAAAAAAATCTGCCAAAAAGTACTCTCGTTTCACATTGTGTCGCATTGCATTGCATCAAAGCAATATTTGTTTTTAATTTCTTCGGAGCTTCTCCCCAAACAACATGAATAATCTCAAGTCAATTTTTGTTGTTTTCAACCTCCTTACTTCTTTTTTTTTATTTTATTTTATTTATTTTTTTTTTTTCATCGCATGCGAAATTGCGTACAATTTTGTTTCTTTACTTTGGTTTATACGTAGGTGGAGAGCGGTTTTTCCCAGGTTTTGTGAAAGTGGTACCATCCCTTCGTAGCAGATTCGTAAGGGCCCTCTAGGTTGATACACCAACCCTTACGGTGTGCGCGTGTGGGTGACTGGGTGACGATATGTTGCCGAGGGAAGAACAGAAGGGATGAGAAGGAGCGGGATGAATGTAGGTGGCAGCGTTGGTATCGAAAAACAGGGGTAGAAAGCAGGGAAAAGCTGTGCGCTCGAAGGGCACGGTTTGGTGGGAGTTGTGGTTCAAGTGAAATATATCAAGAAAGGAGGTTAAAATTGGATAAAAAGGAGGACGACCACGATCAAGCAAACGAATGTGCTTAGGACAAGCTAGCCAGTTGACTTTTTTATTTTATTTTTATTTTTATTTTTTTTTAAGAAAAACAGTTTTCCGTTCTCAGGCCGACCTAGCTGCTGTCAAATTTTGTCGTCGTTGGTAGCGTTTATTTTTGTATCTATTCATAGGCAGTATGTATATTCGGCTAGCTTGCTGGCAAATTCAACGGGGTCGTCTTCGAAAAGTGTGTTCAAAGCTTTGAAGTCTTGTGTAAATAAGTCTTGTGTAAGTTAGCTGTTTTTATTTTATTTTATTTCCCATTTCATCATGATGAAATTCCTGTCTGCGAACTTGCGTTGGCAAATCTATCTATCTCTGAAATCGTCCATTGTCTGTCCCATCCAGACGGAGTTCCCCCCAAAACTCCTTGAAATCAATATATCTCTTCTAATTACAACGCTGGTCTTTTATTTTTGGCTCCTCACTTTCTTTGTGCATCCCTGTCAACCACACTCATACGTTATTTTTTTTTTTAACCCCCTTTAAGCCATCTTAGGGAATACCGCATTTCTTCTTCAGCCATCTCATCCCCCCCTCCCCCCCCCCCCCCCAAAAAAAAAAAAAAAAAAAAAAAAAAAAAAAAAAAAAAAAACAACCTTCAGTCCGCCGTCTTCCTCCTTGCCTCCGTCTCCATCATCTTTCTCTTCCTTCTGTGCTTCGCCTGACGCGCCAGGACCTTCCACGACCCCTCATAGTGATGCGTAACAAGCACCGGCCCCTGTCCCGTCGGATACCCATTTTGCTTCGCTGCGAACGCATTACCAGGCATGACAACCACATCCCCCAAAACTCTCGGCTTTTTCCCGCGAGAAAAATCTCGCTCATCAATACGCCTCCCCAACATACAGCTTAAGCTCTCCAGAATTCCCAATGTCATCCTCCACGGGCCCGTAACTTCCACAACATCGGAAATCATATCCAGCGTAATTCCTTCTGCAGTGACCCCATTCTCCAACGCAATGTCATTAAGGTTTCGAACGATATCATCCACAACTAACTGCAGATGGCGTGAACCGGGACGCGCCGCAAAGACCCAATTCGTCAACTGGGAGGATAGCCCGCTGCCCTCGCCTTCCCATTCACCGTCGAATTCAAGACCAACAATGAGCCCTATTCCCTCCGACCAGGGTGTGTGAGATGTGACATTTCCTCCCGCAAACATCACATCGTTGGCATCTGCTGGCAACCAGTCTGCAACGGGCATTGCGCAAGTGGCGTCGATGTCGCTCCAGATCCCGCCGTCGGCCAGAAGAATAAGATATCTCAGCAGATCAGCCTTGAGAATCGCTACCTGAAGGCCCTTGAACAGCGATACGATGTCAGGGCGTATCGCTCCATATTTCTTCTCCACATACTGGTTCCATGTCTCGTCGGTTACGAGCTCGTGCTCGAAGGAAGGATTTTTTTCCAGCCAGGTGGAGGCCCATGCTTTTTGCTTCGTGGAAAGGTTCTCGGATTTGGCAGATTGCCAGATCTTCGCCGGGATGTTTGGGAGGCCGGGAATACAAGGGACACCCGGATCGGGAACTGGTTGTGATCGCGGAATTTGAAGTTGAGCTTGGTCTGTGCTGCTTCGTCTAAGCTCCAGGTCAGTTTCTTTAAGTTTAAATGTTTGCAGGGGTGCATACGGTTCGCCGATCCACTTGCTGTTTGTGCCGAAAATGGTGAAGCAGAAAAGGTATAGAGAAATAGATGCTGAGACCAAGAGGAGTAGCCGGCTTAGGCGGATTGGGGGTCGTCTTCGGGAATAGGCACGATACATCGCCTCATGGATATGGGGTATGGAAAATGGAGGGATGTTTCTGGGGTCTTGATTTTCAGTGTCCGGGAACCACAGAAAGAGATAGGTTTTTAAAATCCAAAAAAAAGAGGGGAAAGAAAAAAAGGAAAGAAAAGAAAAAGAAAAAGCTGTTCTCAATGGGTCACCTCATTAGGCATGATGCTGACGTATTCTCTGTAAACCGCACAAGAGCAGATTGATCAAGGTGCCGAAAAAGCAATGATCGCCGAGGCAACAACATATCTTGCTATCCGTATCTGAAAGGGAAAGACATTTATATAACGTTCCAGAAGGAAGAGAGTGGGAAAACAGAGAATAAAAGAATGGGAGACATGGGAAAAGGAAAACACAGGCGAAAGTATTCTTCCTGTGCCATTTCTCACACTGAATATTCAACGCCATGGTTAGATATAAACGGAACAAAAACAAAGGCTCCCCCCAGCAGGCGCTAGGAGGGTGCTTGACGAATGCCTTGGAAACCCGGAGCCAGAGTTTGATCCATCCTTAGCCACAGGGCTTTTGTTGCCTCCAGATTTTATTTTTTATTTTTATTTTTTTCAGACACCGACCGTCAACAAAAACGTTCGCTCAGGAAAGTCGGTAAGAGAAGTGAAGAGGGCTTTAGCCGCAGTGTCAACTTTCGACTGTCTTCCTGCATCATACCAGCCCGACAACCTCAAACCAATTCGAGCTCTCTTACACCTTTCTATGACGAAGGTGAATCGACGTTTGGAAGCGTATTGTATCCGCTGGTTGTCCCCCGTGTGTTAGGTATTTCTCTTCTGGCGGGCTCATGCGTTTTAGCCTCTGAGGCTGAATAATTGTGGATAATTCTCCTTGTAGGTAGCTCATTCGACGTAATTGAAAGAGAATATCCTCGGCGGGTTGATCAATGATCATTGATGGGTGGATATGCAGAACCTTTGGGTTCCGCCCCTGGCCCGTCCGAAACTTCTCCGCAGTTCTTCTTTTCCGGTTATCGAATAAACTAGTCAGCCCAAGACCACCTTTTTATTAGCCTTCCTTCAGTTATAAATAGTTAGTAAACCCCATCGAGGATACCCGCTAGGCATACGTGGGCGCGTATGCCGACAATATAATCACTCATATGCACTCGGGAGCAACATAACTAGTTATATGTTTCTCTGTGCTGCTGCATACGGAGCATGTACACGTCACACGGGCAACATTGGAGAATGAGCAAATGCCCATGATTCATTCAATTCAGGATCTCTGTCACTTTATCCCTTTCTGGCTGTTGTGTGGCGAAGCATATCTGGGCTTGTGGATGCCGATGGGCAATAGCTCGAAGGTGTGGTGGGGCTTTCACGTCCGAGGAAGACCGGTGGACTACGGACAGATTGTATAGCTCAGAGTTTCTTAGAAAGAATTATTTCATGTCGTTATCTTGGATGCTGGGGGTGATTTCTTTCTCCCTTCTCCGGTTTTTATTGCGATCTGGCCAACAAATGGCTTTATATCATTAGACGAGAATAATGTAGAATCCCGTAAGTGCATAACCACCCGAACTCTGCTCTGCTCTGCTCTCTGATATCTGCGAATTCCACCCAGCTTTTATGGATTGTTCGCTTCAACCCCCCCCCCCCTCCCCCGCCCCGGGGGGGACTAAACTATGGCTTACGTCCACTAAACTACATCCAAAAATAAACATTCTAACATGAGTGTTACCAGCGATTTCTGGATTCGAGAGAAATTAAGCAAAAACCAAACAATAGCCTAGTTTGTGGCGTTTCCGGTGGACCTTTGATTTGACATAACTACATAGTCAGTACTACCCCGCTCACCGAATAATCACCGCAAAATGAACAACAAATCACCAAAAATAAGGAAATAATGAATAAAAACAAGTCAAAATAAGTAGCACTCTTTATAACCGGACTGCCACCCGCGATACCGAAAACATGCACAAGACTCATACCGCCAGTTTCTCTTGAAGCAACGGTGGGGGCAATGTCCCCTCAGTCAGTTATGGATCGAACCTCTCATCACAGAGCAAATGTCCGGAGGAATCGTAGGCTTCATAAAGATCCCTCGTGAAGACGAGTTTCGCCTCCTCTACAAAACGAACTTGACTTCAACCCAGAAAACCATGTAGTTACTGTTCCCCTGTGCCTTTTGCGATCGGTTGGCTTTGCGAAACTCCAGGGGGCTGCTCTTGGAGTGGGGCTATATGACTCATGCGGCCATCTTTTAACCTACAGTCACTGGGTTTGGCAGGGCCAGCAGAAAGAGGAAAGCAAGTGTTTTAAAATGATTACGGTCTTCCGCTTTCATCAAGTATCTCTCCTGTTCAGCAACAGTGAGGGTGCGGTAGATGTTTGCCCTGTTGCGATGGATCAACCAAGCTAATACATACAAGAAATCCGACAGAGATTGTTGAGACTTTGGGGCTGAACGTAGCATCAGCCACTGCCAGGTATTGGAGGGATCCTTGGATGGGAGGGCTTTCTGAATGCGCAGATTAAAACCTGTTTCAATGGGCAGTTTTCAATGATAGAGTGAGTGAAATTTGGAAACTAAGGTGAGGTGGCTTGATGAATGAGAACACTGTTGCTCAACACTGGAGAATAAGATGAAGTGTCAGAAATGACAATAGCTCATTGACTTCATTAAATGCAGAGGTGGAGTGCTAACATTTTTCAGTGACTGCAGTCAATCTCTGTTGATTGGTGATCATGAGATATATTATTCATTTGTCAACAGCAATCATCCCGGCGGAAGGAGCACAAGATTCAACGTCAGGTTGACCAGAAAAAAAATAAAGAGAGAAGATGAAAGCCCGAAAAGATTTCCCCAAAACTGACAACGATAGTAATGGGTCAGGACGAAGAGTTGGGTATACAACAGAGCTCAAGATGAAACGAAAAGGAAACAATTAAGGGGGGCCATGTTTCTTTCTCCCATTTTTACCCTGTTCCCCTTATTTTTTTTCATTTTTTTTTTTTTTTCATGCGGAATAGAATAAAGCACGAAAGCGAATAAAAGTACAGCATATGATGTACTGTTTACTAATGCCTGTTAGTTATCTATTTCTGGAGGCGAGAAGTCTCCCAATTAGCAAAGAAAGAACATAAATGTATTTATAGCCAAGGCCGTCAAAGTTTCTAGTCGCAATAATAGCTTATTGCCTCCCTTCAGTCCCCAAACCAGAAATCACGAGTGCAGATGGCGGCTGCGTTCACACTTCCTCTGGTACGTAGCCAAAGACTTTCGACCGCCTACCTGGTATTCCAGTTATCGATATATCTCCCGGTTTTCCCGATGTCGTAATGCTCGGGAGACCCCGCAACCGCCTCCACCGATCTGTCTGGCGTCTCATATCAGGGCTTATCAGGAATCCCCACTTGAGCCAAAAGTTACCGCCAATTTCCCAATTGCTTGGGTCGCAGAAGTGGCCCCCGCCTCGAAACTTGCCCCCTGCGTCACAAAAATCGATGATTAGCTCCATCTCATCGATCAAGTGAGGCGCATGGTAAATAGCGAGTATGATGGCGTCACGAAGCTGGGGAATGGGGACTGTGTCGATCCAGTACGGGTGTGGGTATTTCATTTGTGTTGCTGTGGGGAGAAGGGTGGCTAGGGGACCGGTGAATCGGGACAAGATTTTTGGGGACAAGGTTCGGGTTCCTGATATGAAGAAGTCGGCATTCCACCATTTCGGGGCCAGAGGTTGTTTTGGGTTGGAGCGGGAAGGGAGGTAGAAAAATGGTGACATTTGCTCGCCGTTTAGACCGAAGAATTCGCAGCCCTTGGGGATTGCGAAGAGTTTTTGAATTTCGCCGCCGAGATATAGTGTTGAGTGAGCATTCGAGGATACGATGCCAAACGTTTTGTCGAGAGGGACTTTTATGAGCCATGTTTCATAACTGATATTCAGCTCTGAGTTGCTAGATTTTGTAGATTCGGTTGTAGATGAATATGGCGAATCGGAAAATCCTCCAAAATCATAGATTGTCTCGGATAGATCATCCCATGATTTATCAAATTTCGATGGGATAAAGCTCCAATATTCGCTGCCCGCACGCTTCAAGGGACGTCTTAAGTATGTTTGGGCAGACTGTGGCTCGGGAGAGATATTCGGCTCTCCTGTTGGTGGGGAGTGGTCCATGTTCTGCTCTGGAAATTTCGATCCATCGAACCCAGGGATTTGAAGAACCGCGTGTCCAGGTAAATTGGTACTTCGCTGGTTCTTACTTGAATGTTGGCTTTGGTAATCATCGTAACTTTGAATAGACGAGGAGCAAGATCTTGGTAAGGGAGCTAATCGGTTGTTTGAGATGGTTCTCGATTGACCCTTGTTTGGGAATAGGGCCACATTAGAATCTGTCACGATAACGTTGGCTTGCGACACGGAGAAGTTTGATGTGGATGCAGGAGATAACTGTGGCGATGGGGATAATGACAATCCATATGGTTGATCTGGCTTGTATAGTTGGCCTTGACATGGACGTGTCAGCAACATGCGGTAGGATATTTATCACCCAGAGCAAAGTGCATCGCGGCACAAGTCTTACCAAAGATACGAACAGAATCTATGCGGCAATTGTATGATGAGAATTTATCATCATAAAATGCTGGGCATATTTTCGTTTGATATTCTTCGAGTGAGCGAGGGGGTGGGATTTTCTGTCAAAGCAGTGTGAGCCTGTTGGATAGGAGAAACAATGCAACTGTTTAAATGGGGAGGTAAGGCTCCATACTCCCGTTAAATATTCCAGGTCATCACACGGTAGCAAAACATCTGAGGGAATCGCGTGTAATGTGAAGTGCGGTTGCAGCCGGAGAGAGGCTAAATATCCATCAAAAATATAGAGCTCCCACCATGTTCTTCTCCAACTCTCCTCGTGCACCGAGCAGGCATCTCCAGTATTGAATTGACGGCTGTTCAGGCCTAACTCCACTGCAAGCTCGATGGCTGATGAAAGAGTGGAGCTCGCCAAGCTCGATTCCTTTGCCATGTG